TGGAGCTGGTCGACCGCTGCGTCGAGTCCAAGGCAGGCCCAACTGACCAAAGCTTCAATAAAAAGTGTTTGAGTGCTCAAAAAAGCTGTTGTTTTTCACGGTATTTTGTTTGTCATGCGCAATCGTTCTTACGAAGCGCAAAACTGCAAATGGCCTTTTCCGGCAAAAATTATGCAAAATCAGCTCGTAAATGACAAAATTACGCACATTTTTGATGCAAATTGCAGAGGTCCCCATATTAAATAAAAAATAAAAAGTATTTTCGTTATAACTATAAAATCCGCTGACCGATGGGGCTGAAACTTTCTGTGTTCATGGGAAATTGGCTTCGCTACCTCTGTGCAAAATTTCAAGTTGATCGGACCCGAAATAGAGAAATGCGGCCGGTGTCTTTTTTTTTGGGACACCCTGTATATAAATTTCTAATGTCCGTCCGTCCGTGCGACCGGGATTTCAGCCAAATTTCGCATTCAAATTCAAATTTCCGAGGGGGGGGGGGGGTGGGGCGGGGAGAAGGCCAGTGCTGAACCCCCGCGTAGCGGGGGGTCAGCGCTGGTATAATATAAATTTCTAATGTCCGTACGCGCGCCGACCGGGAATTCAGCCAAATTCTGCATTCAAATTAAAAATTCAAATTGTGTGGGTCGTGTGAAGGCCAGCGCTGAACCCCCGCGTAGCGGGGTGTCAGCGCTGGTTTTATATAAAAATTGAATCACCAATTTTTAATTTTGTTGGTAAATAAACACGAAAATCCAGTTGGGGTGCACCCTTTGGCGGAGGCTCCGCCCCTTTCCCTTCTTATCCCTCTCCCCCCTCCCCTCCCCCGTGCTACCGGTTAGCTCAGCCGGTAGTGCGTCTGTGTATTAGTCTAGAGCATCGGGTATTCTTGTGGGTTCAATTCCCCAACAGGAACAGTTACAACAATCTTTTGCGTTTTGCTCAAAAAGATCTTTAATATAATTCTTAATGCTTTTAAATACTTTTTCCATACTTTTTAATACTTTTTACCCTTCTAGGAATGCTGTGGTCGGAGATCAAGCAATTATGGGAGGAGGGCTTCTCCAAATACATGTATCAATGGTGGAATTGGCTCGATTTTATCATGATCTGTCTCTATTTATGCACTATTTAATTACGTTATTTTTATTTAAACATTGAGACATTTAGAAGAAACGAGAGAAACGAATTAAAAAGACGAAGAATTGTGTAAAACCCGTTAAATGATTATTTCAACATTTCCAATCTCAATAATGTTGATTTTGCTGAGCGATGTGATGGACGGTCTTGATCAGTTTGATGCTCCGTTCGTACGGCGCGTCTCGTTCTTTCGCATAGTCACGCCATCTAACAAAAACAAGGGATTTTTGGGCATAATTTGAAAGTGTTACCTCTGTTTCACTTGCTTCAATCGACCAACATATGCATTCAAAACAGCTTTCGAATCAGTAGCATCACCTGTAAATAGGAATTTATAAATAAAAAAGTATCTTTAATTGACTAATTTGATTTTAAATAAAAATAACTACTATATCTTCGGCCCTTTTGGTGTCTTTTGTTGGCGGCAAAACCGGCTGTCGCGTTTGACGTGCCCCAGGTAATCCATTGATTTCTTTCGTGGCGAGGAGATCCTGGAAAATGAAAAGATGCTTCAAATCCTTTCAAATTGACAACGAATCTAATTTATGGGGTTCTTTTTCATTTTATTTTGTATCGGGGGTGAAACTTTAAACTCTTTTTCCATTTACACGTGAGAGCCTTACGAATTTCACACCAAAATGCAAAAAATCAATTTTCCGATGGAAAATGGTTGTTTTTGGTCCGCACCTTCGATAGATTCTTTCTCTACTTTGCGGCTTTTTCAAAGTGTTTTTTCTGTTGAAATATAGTTTTGTTTTGCCAAAAAACATTATTATTAAATAATTTAATGTTGTTGGGCTTACTAGATAGTTCTGCACTCAGCAAATTGATCCTGGATAATGCAAAAGAACCTGTTGGTCTGAGCAAATGCGCTGACGGGGGCGGTCCGAAATTTATGGTGTAAGGTTACGAGGCGCTTCGGTTTATTCTTTGTTTTGTGGCAAGCGTAGGCTTTACCCTGGGCTAGGCTTCTGGCTTAAGCGGGTCCAAGCTAAGCTTAGCTGTCGCTTTAAATGTCTTAGTGCCGGGGAATGGTGTCTTTTGGGGCTTTTTAGCTTAGGATTGGCTTCTCGTTTGTGTTAGATTTTTGCCGATGCTTCAGAGTATAAAACGGCATTTGGAGCGTTCAGTTAGTCAACATTCGGGCTCCCCGATACTGCACAAGTACCTGTTATCCAATTCAAAATCACTCACCAATTGGATCATCTTTTGGAGATTGTGCTCTTGATGGTGGCTTTGCTCTAGGGCACATCTTCATTTCCGTTTTCATTCTCTTCACGCCCTTTCAGCCACGTTCGACATAACGCATATACCGAATCCTACAAAATGTCCAATAGAATAAATCATAAAATTATATAGCAATTATAAATTATAAAATTAAATAAATTATTAATTTTGGATTAATTGTATAAAATCTGACATACCTGGGTCTCATTCTCTTTTAGCCCAAATGACTTGCCACGCAACTCGAAAACGACGCCTAAAAAAGAATGCAAAATTGGGCGAATAAAGCTTACGTCGTTCTTTCTTGGATTTGGGAAGTATCTTGATCTTGCCCTGCTTCGAATCAATCGCCGGCCTAGAATTATTGTATTTAATTATCGGGTACTGATGCATTTGGAGGGGGGGTGGTCCGGATTTTGACTACAAGTCGTTGCAACCGCCGTTTTTTAAACCCTAAGTCTCTGGAAAGCTAAGCCAGCTAAGCCTAGG